TACCCTACACGCTATGGACACACAAAACAAAAATCAAAAGGTATATTCAAACGGCGTAATAATTCTAATCATAAAAACTTTTAAAAAGTAACTTCTTCATTAAAAAAAACACACAACAAGAACCTAATAAAAGTGGAATTACGATGGATATGACGAATTTGGATGGATCGAGATCTCTCTGAAACGGCTTCTAGATCTAGAGGAATTAATTTTTTTTTTTGTGTGTGTGTGTGTGTGTTGTGTGTGTGTGTGAGTGTGTGTGTGTGTGTGTGTGTGTGTTAAAAAGTTGTCCTATATTTCTACTGTTTCGTTTACTCCACCAGAAAATGTAACTAAGAATTGTTTTAAATGGAACAAAGAGTCTGCTTTTAAGATAGAGAGGTTTTCCAGCTTCAAACGACCACTGTGAAGCCCTTCAATATCTTTATTATTTCATTAGTACAAACCAAAGTTAGAAAGTTATTTTCCTAAAAACTGTTTTAGATTAAAACTAAAATCGAAAATGGTCAATATGAGCTGCAAATTTCTTTCCCCAAGAGTCTTGAAATTATGTAAAATTCTGCAGTAAAATGGCAAATTTTTGTCGTAAATTAGCCTTTTCCAGTCGGGGTCCACATGGGCTCCAAGGTCCATAAGACAAAATTGCATTTCGAAAGTCCATTATATGAAATCAATAGTATGTCCGTAATATGAACTATTAATAAATCCATAATTTTGGACTGTCATATTATGGACTTCTAAATAAAATAATATAATAATAAAATAAATTTATGCCAGAGAAAAATCCAGAAATTCGGTTTAGGAGACAATCGCCTTTTCTAGAACCTTCTTTAGTCACGAAAAAAAGTTTCTCTTCATAGAAACTCTCGAAGAAATCGTTCGGTCAGAGGCAGTCGTTTCATTCTATACCGATTAATCGGTATCGTTCTGATTGAATTCATTATTTGTGTTATTGAACATTATTGTTCTTGTGAACGAACGATATCTGAATCAGCAGCTACAAGCAGTGGCGGCTCCTGCGATGAGCAGGGATGCATCTGAAACCCCTTCGTATAATCAAATAAAAAATTTAATTTTCAGACCTGCTTTTAATTTTTATATTTTTTAACTTTTAATTTCACGATTTCTTCTTCAATATTTAATCCTTGATGCTTAAAGTTAAAAATAACTGCATACTGTTAAATATTATGATTATTATCACAAAATTTGAGGCAGATATTAATATGCTAATACCAAACATTAACCACCAAAGTACGGCCATATAATAAGATCGTATTTAATAGTTATAGGAATAAATTTGTATATGTTGTTTGAAAAAGTATTATATTAAAATTTTTTGACTATTTCTATAAGAAAATGTATTTCAGTTTTATCAATTATAATTTTCAGAATTTGCAGTTTACACTTTTTGTATTATACTGGAGCTGTTTGAATACTATCTTTAAAAACCTAGAACTAAATATTTCATTTAGGAATAATTTAACTGTTTAATTATTAGCTTTTAGAATGTTATAAATAAATATTTCATTTAGGAAGAGGATTTTGCACATTTTTAGAACGACTTCGATAAAAGAATTTTAAAAACAGATGTTTGGGAATAAAACTTGTGGCAATAGCTTATTATTTGAAATGAGAAATATCTCTTGCCACTTTTAAATTTATTCTTTTTAAAAAAATGTCGCACGCGAACAATTTGTGGATTGAAGGATATGTTTTTGCACTTTCCGAAGAGAAATATTCTTCTTCCATAATTCATAAACGCTTTAAATTTCACGGTATTAAAATTTTGAAGTGCAAAATAAGCAACATAATTAATTGGAAAGGAAAAAATCGCCAGTCATTACTTTCACATGGAAAGAAGACTTCAAACGAATACCCGTATAAAGTTTATATTAGTTTATCGTTGGGTAACAACAGAAAACTCGCCTGCGCAACAATCAACTACAAAGTCTTCAAGTACATCTATAACAACAAAAAATAATAAAACAAGACTTAAACCTAAAAAGGCTAAAAAACAATGTTCAACAGATTACCCGAGGCATGCGGCTCAATGCACAACAATTCGTAAAACTCTATATGAAGACTATTTAGAGGGAGATAAATGGAAATAATACATTGTGCCCACTGATGGAATAAGGATTTACCTAAATGACTGCAACAACGACAACAAAAATGGCCTATTTATGTTCGAAAACAAAGAGAAAAAAATGTGCAAACCTGGTTGCGATGCAAAGAAAGTTTTAGTAAGAGGCTTATGACTGTCGCAGAAAATTAAAAACAAAAAGAGGGAAAAAAAGGTTAAAATCAACTCGATGTACTATCACGAGAAAGTTTTGTGTCCGATATTTACAGAAGAAATTCCACTTATTTATCAAAATGACTTTCAAAGAGTGAAAATTGGCCCACCAGCGGCCGAGCGGTAACGTCGCTGAACACTGGTAGTTCGGTCCGAGGTTCGAATCCCGCGAACGGGCTGGCTGCATGGGCGTTTTCGTGGTTTTCCCCATGTGTAACGTGTATACGAGCCAGTTTCCCTTAGAAAGTCCTCCACGAAGGCATCCCTCCCTTAAGGCAGATAGCCCTCGAGTGCTTTGCCGTAATCTAATAAACCAAAGAGTGAAAATTCATCAGGCAAAAGCAACAGGTCATACTTCCAAAAGTACCTCTGCATTTCTTAAAAAAATTGAAGTCTGATACAGGTATTGCATATATAAATTTTCAATGTGTTTCTGTGAAATTCTCTGACGTTTCATCTATGGAATATTGTGCCTTTCGTATCCATAAAGAAAAGTACAGAAGAAAAGATATTATATCGAACATTTAAAATATACTCTTTACACTTTAAGGGTTAACTAAACTGCCCCGAAATCGTTCTAGAAAGAGGGTAAATACCCACCGTACATTTGCATATATATAGATGTCCACAAGAAAAAAAATTGGATAGGGTGGGAATCCTTGACATAAGCAATGTGTTTTTAAGATTAAAAAAAAATACAGAATTTAATTTTCGAAGGATGCGGTTACGATAAGACAATAATAAACGAAAAGTAGCTACGCATAAACTATAGCTAATTATCAGAATACCATTTTTTAAAAAGAAACTTACATTCCAATAAGAATACATAGAAATATTAACATTACAGTACTTAATAAGGTGTCTTAATTTCTACTTCCCTGTAATTTGAATCTCGCAGTTCTTTCTGCCGTCTACAGCTACTCCTTATGCTTGAAATCATACATAAATAATAAGAGAAATTTTATGTGCAGCCGACTCAATTAAATCCTGGATTGAATGTGACTTCGTGTTTGCTTCACCGTGATGAATCGATTCTTGTGCACTAGCATAAAATTCGTCGGCTAAAACGAACATACTCGGCGTGATCTTCGCAGGGGTTTTGCGAGGGTTTATCTTTGTTAGTAAGACACAAACAATCCTTAAATGGACGAACCCATTTTAAAATTTAGGGAACCTCGTTCTCTGAACGCATTTAAGGGAGGGGAAAATTACCAGAATATTTTGAAGAAAGCCTGGCGCTAAAATGCTAGGGGACAAAATACGCGAGGAAATTCAGTATGAGAGGAACAACACTAACAATACTGCCCCGTAACTTTGTTGAATCGCGGTGGTGTGACTTTGTGAACCCCGTAACTTTGTGAATCGCGTAATATATCAACAACTAGGACGAAATTTCTGTCCAGGACATCAGGACAGCGTTTGTGTCAATGAAAAATAGGGATGGTTCTCGGTTCTGTTTTATATCTGATTACAGTAGCAAAATGATGACTATTGCGGATATGAAATAGGACTGCTTCAACTAACAGATACCAAATAGGATCATGCAAACTGCTTTTTTGAAATAATATAATGATGATCATTGAGAGATACGATAGGTCTTCTTCAAGATTACAAAAGTGTATATTTCTCGTAATGTGGTATAATTAATGTAATAAAACTAATTTCGCATAATTTCTTTGTGTGTATTTAAGTGTAGCTGCTTTTCGAATAGTTTAGTGCTGTAATATTATCAACAGGGGCTGGATTTTGATGCCTTAAAAATTAATTGAAAATACCTAAAAAATAACTGGAAAATGCATTAAAAAGTGAAAACAAAAACAAAAATAAGTAATGATTCCGGCTGTAAAACCAGAATATGTAACCAAAGCATCAAAAATAAATAAATAAATAAATAAAAATAAAAAATAAATAGTAAGAATAAAAATAAAAAAGTCATCTCAAAAATAAAGTAACATAAAAAAATGAAACAACTGATAAACACTGACAAATGGATTAAAACCCCAAAAATGATACATACCTGTGACTTGATTTTCCTTTTTTCTTCCGAAAAGTACGGTCGCCAAACGTCTTTTGCATCTATGCCCAATCCTAATCGGATAATCCCTTTTAAAAAACGGTTAAGATCCAAGGTCATTTGCCAACTTACCGCCGGCGGACTGAGCAAAAAAGTAAATAAATTGATGTAAAGAATATAAAGGAGATTTTATCGAGGTAGAAAGATGTATTGCATACAGCTGTCAGTGTATAGCTCGAAGAATGTGTATGTAAATAGTATGGAACTGAACATCACATTCTAAAATGCCCATACAAATGCCCTCAAAAGCCCCCAAAATGCTCAAAAAATGCTTCGAAAGAGGAAAATACTCAGCAAAAGAAAAAAAAAAAAAATGCATATGTCATCAACATCCGAGCCTTGGCTGTCCAAAGGTTTCTTTGGTTTTATCTTTGTTTACGGGCGGTAAGCCCTCACATGAGAGCTACGTCATCTGTTGGTAGAATACCGTCTTCTTTTACGCTCATGATTTGTATTAGTAAATTTTCCATCTTTCCAATGTAAAAAAAAAAAAGATTTACTTTCTTGACGGAGATCAGTTAATCTGCAGCTCGGTTAATCGGGTATTGACTACACTACTCTCCATCGGGTACTGAGTGTGATTCTTTCTTAGCGCTGCAATATTAACAAGAGCATACTTCAGTTACAAACCTGGCTGTTGGAATTCTGGCGCAAACTGCTTGGCAACTAATCTGGCGATGTCCGATTCCGTTCTAGCGTGCTTGGCGGCGATGTCCGCTTGTTCCGCTTTACCTCTGGCTGTCGCTGTCCTGAAATATATTTAATATCACCTATTTCATATAGACAAACATAGAAGCACAAATTATAGATGATATGAATCTTCTTGCCAACAATCAAACCACAGATTAAATTGATCTTAACAAAAAATTAGAAAAAAACTGCAGTGAAATATTCCGTTTTCAGCTTAACTATCGAAAGAAGGGGGAAAATACCAAATTACCTAAATACCATATTTCCTCATGTATTTTTCTTTTTTTTAACTAATTTTACCGTCTGATAATCGAGAGGGGAAAATTTTTAGAGTAATTTTATCTCCGAAAGACACGGTTACAGTAAGAATATTACAAAAGAAACGTAGTCTTGGATAAACTAGTGGTATCTATCACAATATTATTTCTTTAAAAGAAACCTACATTTCAATAAGAGTGCATAGTAATATTAACATTATAATATCTGACAGGTACTTGAATTGACATCTGACGGTATCTGAGTCCCAGACGCACCTCAGATGAATGAGTATTGACAGCACTTTCCAAGAAGGACAGCACAGGAACGAAAGACAACAAGGGAACAAACAAAAGAACCGAATTTCGAAAGATGGAACGCATTTCGAAAGCGGTCAATAAGCCTGCAATGATCTAGCTCGTCTTCGAGAAGTTGAACCTCTTATCATAGCACAGTAATTTGAAACATGGAAAAATTTGTAAGAATATAAGGACTGAACTTGGTATTTTCTCGTCCATGCTGCCCAGTTCGAAACATTGGTTTGTAATATATGCTGCTCTGTTGTACTAATGCAAGCAACCTACTGTACCAGTTGAGCAAAATAATAGTGATCGAAAGTGCCCTCTTCTTCGTGTTGGCACTGGTCTGAATCGCTTCAGGAAGTTGTGAAACAGTCTATGACCTGTTAGAAATTGTGCCAGCGATAGGCTGTTGCTATTAAGTCCTATTTCGACGTTTGGACAGTGATGAAGGACGCGTTTACCCTTTGTTCTAGATAACCATTGCCCCTGCTAGTTATTCATAAGGTGCACATTTGTAATATGCTTGAGATAAACTAATGGGAATACTGCTGACTGATCTGGCAAAGTTGCATGATTAGCAGCTTATATAGGAAGCTCATGCATTTTCATCAGCAAGTTCATTCCCCTGTTTTCAATAGCGCGCGGGAACCCAATATAGACGGGGCCTTTTGTCTGTTTGTAATGCTAATAAGTCTTGTTTGACGCTGCTAATTAGAAGACTTCTGCTAAGCTTATTTGCAGTTACTTCTAGAGTTGAAGCTGAGTCGCTGTAATTGTTTATATGACCTGACAATATTAAGCATAGCTTATTGCTGCTTCAAGAGCCAATAGCTTTACTTGCAAGATTGTGCTGCTACTGTGCAATAAGCTTCCACGCATACAAGTATCCCTCCTATAACACGGCTGAAACGTTCTAGAAAATACTGTGTGGTATTAACGTTACAGCAGTACAATATGAACAACCAATACAAAATGAAGGAATGCATTCCAAAAAGTTTTAAAGCAAAATATTTTTTAATGATTCTCATTGTTGCCTCATTTAAATTTAGACATTTTGAAACGTAAGATGCTGTATTTTTAACAAAGGATTCAGAATTTGCATTTTCATTTCTTAAAATATAAATATTCTTTTAAAAGTTGTTTTTTCAGAATTTGGGACTGAAATATAATTTTGTCATAATTATTTTAAAAACGATAAAGCTAATTAGCAACACGTACCCAAACATTTTTAAAAAATATTCTTTGAAAATCCATATGTTTGGTTACATCCATTACATTATTATACAATTTACCAACCGAATATATGGAGTACTAGCCATATATTGTGTAATGATGGACACGACTTCAATTTAAAAAATTTCGATGTGAGAGAATACGAGTATTTCCGGAACTTCTTTTATTTTTGTGTGTATAAGTAAATTGGTTGCTACTGTATACTTCGAATGATGGAAAAGTAAACTTAATTTTGTAAATAGAATAAATATCACGTTATCTGAATATGTACACTGCGGAAAAAAAAATAGGATAACTCCCGTTCTACTGGGTCGATTGACGAAATTCAACTTGCGTTTTTCATGTCTCGAAAGTGCGACTTAGGATACGTATTAGATTTATATATAGCATTGTTCTAATACAGGTATTCTGACACAAAATTGGACTTATTCTAAAATGACATGCCAATGTTTTTCCACATTTCGACTCTACGACTCAAATTATGCCAAACTGCCAAGCTTTGTAAAAATCGCACGAGTAGTTTTTGAAAAATTAGCTCTCAAAACTTTAGCTCCTCAATGTTAATTGAATTTGATATATATTTATTAATATCTCTTTTTTATTAAACTTATTTGATTCTTCCTTTCATATTTCGAAATTTAGGTTCATTCCAAATAAAATTCGCCCATTTTTTATGATTAGTTTCTAAAATTTGTATTTAAAAATTATTTTCATGTTTTTCGAAAAACATTTTGAATTATAATCTATAAAATGTTTACCATCATTTTAAAGTGGATGTATTTCTAAGCATACCTGCAAAAAATTACAGTTTTTTATTCAAAATTTCCTAAGATATACGTGAATTTACATTTTGGCGCGTTTTGAAATTTGGCGTATTTATTATAAGCGATAATCACGAAAATGTGGTTTACTCATTTTACTAAAATTATTTAAAAGTATGAACGATGACTTTTTTCCCGCTCGTGGACGATGAAGAAAAAGGAAATTAAAATAGGTTGCTATAAATTAAGAAGTTCGCCAAGTGATTATTCTTCGCGCAAACTGGAAAAAATTCGCCAAGATAAATTCGCCAAGAAAAATGGCATGTTATTTAAAAAAAAGTCCGATTTTGTGTCAAAATACCTATGTTAGAACAAAGCTATATGTGAATCTAATATATATCCTAAGTCGCGAGACATGGAAAACGCAATTTGAATTTCGTTACTCGGCCCAGCAGAACGAGAGATATAGAACTGTTCCATTTTTTTCGCAGTGTACATACATTAAATATAATTAGGTTTACGTATATTCATTCATTAATGTGCTATAAAACCAGGTTGCCGTGCTGTATGAGATTTTCTGCAGTTTTCTTATCGTGTAAGAGCGAAACCGTGTTATAAGAGGAATACCTGTGTGTTATGTATTTGTTTATATCGTATTAGTGTTAATGTTGTCTTAATCCATGAATCCGTTGGGCACTTTCCCGGGCATCTTATATTAATCTGTGTCAGCTAACTTCCGTTAATAGGTTGGTTGTTGTCACAGATGTCTAACACGCATGTATACCCAGGGGCTCATAATGCTGTTAAAACGGCACTGACTGGTGGAACTTGTGAATGAGAAACACTTGCTAAATGTAGTACATTCTAGAAACACTCGCTAAATACATTTCTATGAAACATTTGTAAAATGTAGCTCATAATTCTAAGTCAGGTACCTGGAAATAGCGATGTCAGCTTTCTGCAGGGCTATCTGAGAAGCTCTGTGGGCACCGTTGATCGCAGCTTCCAGCCTTTCTCGGAATTTGGGCGACCGCAACGAGAAAAGATGTTTCTTGCCACCGGACATCAACAGCACATTATTTTTGTACTTTCCTCGCTCCACCACGCCGTTCTGTTGGAAGAAAAATAAGTCAGCACGCTTTTATCAATAAGAAAAGAAGCGCTCGTTAGAAAAGAAAAAGAACCCGATTGTTGAAATTTCAGTAACATTTAAATCGCTAATATAACTTAGCAACGAAGGAGAATGCCACTAGAAGTAGGCAAAACTTGCTCTTTTATGGTATCAGATTAGAACTGTTTGCTTAATGAACTGAACAGGTTTATTTTTATGACTGAGCGCTCTCTAACAATAACCTTAATTTACAACAAATTCAGTAGGTAGCAAGGTTGTTCTTTCAAGGTTAAATCGTTTTCCTTCCGACGCTCGAGACAGTGATGTGTATTACCTGTTTGCTCAGACTTACGTGTTACGGATGTCAACCTCACCATGCTAGTTGACCTTGATCGAAAAGAGTAAAACTTGTAACATATAACTTTAACGAATAAAATCATGAGCAATGTGTGAATCAAGAGCTGTATGCGCGTATGTAGCGAAGAGCGGAGAGATTCGAATGAGCGATGGGCAGGAAGGATGGGCTCTATCGGACTGCTGACTCAATAGATTGGTTTCTTTCAACTGCAGCTTTGAGATTCTCTAGAACTTCCTTTGTACGTGATGATAAAATTCTGGAATAAAAAGAAACTGCTGTTCCTATCTTTATATTTCAATAAATACAAAGGGATTAATAGAAACTGCAGTTTTTGAGTGTTTTAGTCAAGAATTCATAACAATTATTTTATTTCATACTTTTTATTGCGAATCAAGCTAATAGAAACAGCCTTTAGATTAAAAATTTCTTTTATATTTTATTTTAAAGCTTTTTTCTTTTTGTAATTTATTAAGCATCGTTTTCTGTATTTATTAAGTATCAGTGTTATTACTAAAACATAGTCTTATCATTACACATCATTAAAATAAAAATACTTCCTTCACTCATCCCAGATACCGAGCAATCCAGAAAAACTAAAGACAAAACTTGCTCACTTACCTGGGTAGTGTGATGTTGAATCTGTAATAAAAACTCTTGATTTATCTAATTATATTCTCTCTATACTACAAAATATATACATTTTTTAACAATTGTCGGGAAATTTTTCTGGCCCCGAAAGTTATTACACACTTAATCAGTTCACGTCACGAGGTCGAAAGGGAAAAACCCTTTTTTTCTTCCTACTTCAATGACAGCCAACGCCATCTGTGTCTCGTACATCAAAATGAAGAGATTTGTTTTTAATATTTGTTAGATACAGCTAATCAGTTTCACAACACTCCCACCTTTTTGATTTTCAGAAGGAAAATCAAAAATCAAATAATGGTATCCTTAGTACAGGAACACACTTCTAGAGGGTACAGTTTACGTACAGGACGAATCAGTATGCCATTTCTAGTTTTCACTTTTACAACTCTTACACGTCCATCTCTGCTTGTACAAAGTTCTTGGACACGAGCAATTGGCCAGTTCACTCTTTTAAGGTTTCTCACAACCTATTAGCACGATGTCTCCAACTTTTAATTCACAGTCCGTCTGTCCATGCTTTTGTACTAACTGTCCAAGGTACTCCTTGCGGAAACGGCTACGAAATTGTTCTCGAAGTTCCTGGCAGAAACGCTGACGAGCCAAGAGTTTATTTCGATCTAAAGCATCCAAATCTGCTGTACCTGAAACCTTAATGTCCTGTAAGAACATGGAAGGCGTTAATGGTAGAAGATCCTCAGAGTCATTTGACACATAAGTTAAGTGGTCGACAGTTTATTACGGCTTCCACATCACAGATGACGGTGAGTAACTCTTCGTAATTGACTGCAGCTTGTCCTAAGACTCTCACAATCAAATTCTTGGCTGTGCGGATTAGACGCTCCCACCATCCGCCCCACCAAGCAGCAGTGGGCGGAATGAACTTCCAAGTGATGGGATGCAAAGTTTCCTGAGCAATTACCTTTACCCAGTCAACCTTTTTCAGCAATGCAGATGTACCGACGAAATTTGTGCCGTTGTCTGAATAAACTGTAGATGGCCGACCTCTTCTGGCTATGAACCGACGAAACGCTTGAATGAAGCATTCGGTACTTACGGATGTCACTAGTTCCAAATGTACACATCTATATACAGCACACGTAAACAGTACTACCCAGGTTTTGTTTTTATTTTTGAGAATCAGAGGGCCACATAAATCTATGCCGGTAACTTCAAATGCGAAACGCATCTCGAACTCTGTCTAATGGTAATTGAATGGGTGCAGTAGTTGGAGGTTTTGCTGAAAATCGTTTACAACGGACGCACTGTTTCACCACCGATCTAATTCGGCGTCTTGCACCAATGATCCAGAATTCTTCTCTAATTATAACAGTTAATGCTTGTACGCCGGCATGAGAATGCTTTAAATGGTAATCTCTAATTAAACAGTCAACAATATAATGCTTAGAAGGTAATAAAATCGGGTACCGGAATGCATAAGAATCATCTCGTTCGGTGATTTTCGTTTTTACTCTTCTTAAGCCACTCTGATCTCGTACGGTCAAAAGACCATTGATGGAGTCTCCAGTCTCTGGAAAACTCTCCCCCTGAACAAGTGAAAGAAGTATAATTTTAGATTCCTTTATCTCGGAAGCAGACAGAAAAGGCTCTTTATTTACAATTTTCTTTTGACAATTTTTGATAAATCTCTTTATCCAACCTAAAACTCTTAACATTTTTGAAAATTTAGAGAACTTCTCACACCACTTAACTTTATCCGCTTTTGTAGTTATACTAAGATTTACATTTAAATTTATGCCTTTCCTGCGCTCTGAAAAAAACTAAAGTTTCATTTGGCTTAACCTCTAATTTTGGCCAGCTATCTCTAGGGTCTTTGAGCCAAACAGGCCCTCTCCACCAATTTAATTCGAAAAACTGAAGAGGGGAACAACCACGAGAAGGTAAATCAGCTGGGTTAGAATGACCCTGTACATATGACCACTGATTTGCTTTAGTGAAAGCGCAAATTTCCTTCACGCGATTGCCCACAAAAGTCCCCCACGCATCATTTCTTTGAATCCAAGATATGGCCGTGGTGGAATCGGTCCAAAAATATTTCGGGATGTCATCCAATGTAAGAGCTTCTGTCACATATTTGGAAAGACGCACGCCCAAAAGACAGGCCATAAGTTCTAGACGGGGAATAGTAAGTTCTTTTAAGGGTGCGACTCTTGACTTAGCCATTACAAAACTGACTAATGTTTCTTCTTTAGTTTCGCATCTCAAAAATATTACCGTGGCATAAGCATGCTGGCTAGCATCACAAAATACATGAAGTGTCCAGGAACTTCTATCTCCAAAACCTATACGTCGCGGTATTCTCAACTTATTCAAAATTTGTAATTTATTATACCACCTCGAAAATTTACTTTTGATACTATCTGGTAATGGAGTATCCCAGTCTGCTTTTATCGCCCAAATTTCCTGTAGCAGTAACTTTGCAGGCAATAAAACAGGTGTCAAGAAACCCAAAGGATCAAACATTGTCTGCGTTACTGACAAAACCTCTCTTTTAGACAAATTATCCGAAACCAATACAGTCTTAATTTCAATATAAAGGTTATCTTCTATTCTGTCCCACATAATTCCTAAAACTGGTACAGAATTCTCCATTGTGGACTCAGTGCACACAAAGTACTTTGGGTTAGTTCCACATCTTTTTCTACTGGGCCATAGGTCCACATACGTAAGTCCATTTTTGCTTCAGCTAATATTTCAGTAGAAGATTTCACAAAATTCACAAGCTCCTTTTCGTTATCAACAGAAGTCACACAATTATCAATATAAAAGGATTTATTTAATTTCTGAGCAATAGAACTTTGTTCCTTTGGTACTTGTGCCAAATGAACTGAAATAACCGCTCCTAATAGAAAAGGGCTAGACTTTACTCCAAAAACTACCCTCGTATGGCGGAAAACCTTCAGTACATTATCTTTCTCCCACCATAAAAATCTTAAAAAGTCCCTATCTTCTTTCCGTAATTCAATCTGTAAAAATGCACGCCGGATATCAGAGGTTACGCCAATGCATTTTTCTCTAAATCTTAACAAAATTGAAGGGATTTCTTCTATTAAATTTGGTCCTTTTACTAAGTAATCATTAAGGGAGGGCGATCTATTAACTTTACATGATGCGTCAAAAACAGGTCTTATCTTAGTTGAGACACTGTCTGGTTTAAATACTGGGTGATGCGGTAAGTAGTGCCCTTTATAATTCAGTTCATTGTCTGGTACTATTTCAATTACACCCTCCTCCATCCATTCATTAAAAATTCTATCATATTCTTCATATTTATGTAAAGACTTGAGTTTTCGGGTGACACTGAACAATCTTTTTTCTGCTACATGACGATTTGATGGCAATTCTGCGTTATATACTAACCAAGGTAATCCGACACAATAACGACCATCTTCGTTTCTGGAAAGAGAGTTTAAAAATTGTTCGTGGGCAATTTCTTCCTCAGCAGCGTTAGTTGAATTCTGGTGAGCATCTAATATTCCGATCGTTTCTAAACTCCAAAGATCGGAGATTTTAAAGTCGTGACCCACTAAACTTGCACACAAAATGGAAGCATCTTTATCTTTGTGATTAACAAA